GCTGTCTCTCAGGATGAGCGGAATGCCGGAAGTGCAAGACATGAAACTCATCACCCCCGTGCGGCGCTCCACGAGGATCGAGCGAGCGGTGTCCCGCTACCCAGAGATGCTGCAGGAACACGACTTGGTCGTGGCTTCTCTCAATGAGCTCTTAGAAGTAGAAGACACAGAGTGTTTTATATTCCGCAAAAATGAGGCTTTGCCAGTAACATTAGGGTTTCAAATCCCTGAATCATAATTCCTTGATGCTTAAAAAAAAAAAGAGAGAGAGAGAGAGAGAGACATTTCAGAGCCTCCATGAGACAAGAAGTGCACTTATCCGGGAGACCTAGAGGACTGTGTAATGGAGAGGCAGCCCGGGTGCAGACTGTGGGCTCCCGGCACTTAGAAAGGAATTCACTGGGCTTACTCTCAAATTTTATATCCCCACAGGAAAGTTTGATTTGCTTAAGACTAATTTGCTGCAGTTTTACAGCACACAGAAATTTCAAACTACTGGATATTTACCCCACAACTACGGTAAAAAGTCTGAACTTTATTGACCTACCTTAGTCCCAACATATTTTTTGTATCAGCAGGTCAGTTCTGCAGTACAATTGACCTGCATCCACTTAGCACCCCTCTTCCTCCCGGCGTGGAAGATCTGAGCTTAGGAACCAGCCTTCCCCGCTAGAAGGGACGTGACAGACCATCTGGTCAAGCCCCCTCATTTTACAGATGAGTTTATACTAGTTAGGCCTCTGCTCCGAGATCACAGATGACTTTCATGTGTGATCTTTGACCTCCGTCACAGAAACCTGTAAGTGAGGGGGGTAATTCATGTCCTTTCTGTGCCTGGTCTCCTGTCATGAAATGCAATTCTGCATTGGAATGGTCATCCAGCTTTTATATTCAAACCTAATTTTGTGTTTATTATTCAGAAATGCTTCAGATAAACACAAAAGGGAGCAGCAGAGAGGGGTGGGGAGAGGACCCTTGCCTCTTCGGGTCAATTCCTTGCTCTGCTAGGGGACACCTGGCCTGAGAAGACAGTCTAGGCCCCACTATTATAGGTTGCCTGTCCTCCTGCCTGGGCAACTGCTCTTGAAAAGGTAAAATCAGAACCGTTCTGTAAATATAATGTATAGAAAAACCTAGGCAGCGTATTTTAAATTTTAGTTTTCATATTTATGTATTATCTCAAAAAAACATTAAATTTTATTCATTCCTGCTTATTCATTTATCTTACTTATTACAGAAAACGGTGATTGTGGCTTGGCCTAGAGAATTAGAGGTTTGTCTGGGGAGACACCAACAGGCGATCCCGAGGGGCCTCAGAGGAAACACTCATTACCCTGGAGAGCTCGCCTTGATCTCACCATCAGCCTTGCCCAGGACATGGGTTTTCCAGTGTGAGGGAAGCAGAGCCGTCTCTCTCAGTCAGATTCATAGAAACCAGTTTCATAAAACATATAAAACCATACTGCTAATAGACTAACTTTCAGTGAGAAAAGGACTGTCACCACAGCCAAAATGCAGGAATCCACACAGCCAGCCCTTTCCTTCCCTTTAGACAGACTCACTATCTGTGAGCCAAATAATGCCCAGGGGGTGACTTAGAAATCACAGAATCTGAAAATGGGACTTAAAGAAATCAAATATTCAAAATCACCAGACTTTTTAAAAGAGTCTGAAGCAGGTCCCTCTGTGTTAGGAATGTCCTGTCTCAGACCCCAGGCACCCCATCTCTCATCCATTGACCAGGTCCTCTTGATCGGATGGCGCTGCCACCCTTTGTGCAGTTCCCTTTCTTTGGCTTCAGATGGTTCATCCTTGCTGACTGATGCCCATCTCCTGACCCAGCCCTGGGAATCAGGTGTCTCTTGATGATTTTACACATCTGTCCTCAGAACCATCGTCTCGATATTACAGCTCAGTTCTCAAAAGTGCAACTCATTGTCTGGAGTGCCAGTTCCTTGCAGGATGCCTCACATGACCACCCTGGATACTAACAATGTAGGTTGAATATTGGCGTCTAATGTATAGTTTTCAAAGTAACAAGTTGGAGGTTTTAAAACAGCTTGATTATACTAAATAGCCTCTTCAGGATAGAAAAGGATGTGGAAATTTACAGCAACTGCAGAAAACTGCACCCTAATTCTGGAGCTCTTTGTAGATTCTCAGCAATCCTCTTGTTTAGTAAATAGCTGTTCCTAGAAATGAAACAGGAAGGAGGGAGAGAGGGAAGGAAAGAAGGCAGGCCCTTAATCACGCAGGAGGAAGAGGCATCGGCAATTGTGCTGGCAACATAGGCCTTGGCAGAAACTAAGTCTAATGTTTAGGGACAGCTTCTTAGAAGAGGTGAGTGTAAACCGAGTTTTAAAAGAAGATAAACAGGCTGGTTATGTGCTGGCATCCCTGTGCAGGATGACCGTGAACCAGAAGACAAAGCCAAGGCGTGACATTTCACATTTATCACTGTTTCCTCGGTCCCAGGACTCATGCTCTCAAAGACTTAGGCTGCGCCTGCCTGGCATGCAGTCCTTCTAATAAGAGCACCCTAGTTTCCACAGGACCACCTCTTTCTGCGGTGTAAGAGGAATGGGCTCCACCCACAGTGAGCACGTGGCCCAGGCCTGGCCAACCGGAGCCCAGGCTCTCCCGGCAGCAGCACTGATTGGACCATGGGGGTTTGTCTCAGTCAAAAGCAGTGAGACTCGCTTCTCCGACTTTTGTTGGAAACTCTTCCTGGTAGAATTGCTGGAAAGATAAGAAGGCAATCTGCAAGCCTTCTTATTGCTACGTAGAAAAAACTTTCCAGAGAATGGTTCCCAACACGGAATAAGTGAGAGCTGGAGAGGGCGAGGTTACGTCCAGTGACATCATTCGACCCCCTGGCAAGAGCCTGGTGTCCCTCAAGCCCTGTACTCTTCAATGATACGAGGCAGTAAATCCCCTTATTAAGCCGGTTTCATTTAGGTTTCTGTCCGTTGCCAGGGAAACGCTTGTTGGTGCTCGCTCTGGCCGCCCTCCACGCGTGTTGCCCCCCGCGGGCTCACGGTAGCCGTCGGGCGTGAGACAGCGAGACAGTGACTGACAGGGCTGAACTTTCAAACTCAGAGCTGTCTGGCTCCAAGTCCAGAGCTTTTAAATTCCTGTCTCTAAAGTATGGAAATGAGGACTAGGATAGTGATGAGGAAAGAGCAAATCTGAGAACAATTCTTGAACTGTCCCCGATTTACCAAGCAGGAAGCACTGTGATAGCCCAAGTCCTGCCGTTTTTCCTACAAATGAGGTGACGTGATCACATCTTTACCCCCAGGTCACTGCCCCAGGGACGATGCTTCCTGTTCTCTTCGTTTCTGCCTGTTCGGGATTGGGTGCCGGAATTGAGAGACCAATTTAGCCACTGTGACCAGCCCCAGATGGAAACGCGTCTCTCTGCCTTCAGCAATCCCAGTGAAACAGCCCGGCCCAGACCACGTTTGCCTTGTGGCTCTGCCATCCCCAGGGCGCAGCCTCCTCCGTGTGGCCGAGGATGGCTCCCAACCAGTTTCATGTTCCAGCCAGTGGGAAAGGGGAGAGAGGAGGCAGAAGGCTTGCCTCCTTTTAAGGCCACAGCCTGAAAGTTGGATCCATTATTTCTGCTTAGGATGGAGCGGCCATAACTTGGTCACTCATCTTAAAGAAGGCTGGAAAATGCCTTTTGGGTGGCCACATGACCAACTAAAATTCTTCCAGAAATGGGGTATACCTATCAGTGTCTGCCACAGTCTTAGAAGTAATGTAGTCCGTCTCTAAGGTATAGATAATAGGATGGAGGTGACACAAGGTTTAAAAAAAAACTGCATCAAATGAACAGCCCCCAGTTAGAAGTGTCTCCCACCCAACCCTGCCCCAGATGAGTTCCTAAGAGTTAGGAACATTCTAATCCAAAGCTTTATAGCCTTTCCCCAGTTCCTCCTGTCTTACATCTTCTGACCCACCTTTTCCCCTGCAATTCTACAAGCCGACCCAGAGTAATAATAAACCAGGTTCCATGGTTCACTCATACAGGGCACTCAAAGCCAGAGATACAATGATGACCCAAATGACCTGTCCCCATGGGGCCACAAGTCCAGTGGAGACACGTGTTAAAGAGTCACAGATGTCAAAGGGTGATAATCCTGAGAGAGAGGTCCCTGGGGGAGGGACCAGTCAAGGAGGTGGAGAGGCCTCCTGAGATCTCAGCAGAGGTAGGAGATGCTTCAGGCAGAAGGAAAATCATGGGAAGGGCCCTTTGGCCACCTCGTCCCTTCCTTTTGCCGAGTCTCTCCCCCCACCTCCTCCCCTCCCTCTCCCTCACTCTCACCTCAGACCCCTTAGGGGTCTTCTGCCGGGCTGTTTATTCCCCAGGGCCCCTCCTGCATTCTCTCTACCCTAGGAGGGAATTCTAAGGGTTGATCTTTGTAGTATTAGCTACTATGCCATATTCCAGCATCTTTCCAGAAAAGCGTGCTCCCTGCAAGGGGTCTGAGCAATTTTCCTGATAAAATAGTATCCTCTAGCCCTCGAATAAGAATCTCGTGATCAAAAACACAAGGCCAGGGATACCGGGTCCTTGCCTGGAAAACCTGCCCCTACAAACTCTGGGGTCCAAAAGGCAACCTAGGAAGAAGAACTAAAGGTCTAGAAACTTCTGAAATGCACAGGAGATGTAAGAAAATGACTGCGAGCTCTGAGCACACGAGCTGGTGTCCCTTATTTATCTTCAGATATTCCAAGTTTTCCCCTTGTTTATCCACAGAAAATAAAACGAGTGCACTGTGTCACAGACCAATTCCTTCAAGAGTTCAGTCATTTCAAACATGAAGATATGTCCCCTCTAAACCTTCATATAATGACAGATGGTACCACTAACAGATGAAAAGTGAACTCAAAACAGTGACAGCAGAACAATGGAAAAAGCCCGGGGCTTAACCACGGAACAGCTCCTACTGAAATAAAGAATCCAGTTTTTAAATAATGAGTATGATTTTTTGCAGTTTTTAATTCATGTATACATCAAGTTCAAAGACATCTGGGCTATCTCCTTGACTGTCCTCCACAGTGACCTAGAAAGAACAGTTAGTTAAGGAGGTCGTCTATAGCCATTCAGGTATTGTTTTAGTAACAGAATCCAAAGTGCACAGAAATACTACTTTTAAAAAGAAGTGGATAGAAATAAAATTGGATATGAAATGATGCTCTCCGGGGACCTGGGTAAAACAATTCCACTTGTTACACACGTTTCCAAATGGCCCAGCGGCCATGGGGGGATGCTTTCTGGCGTCAGAGCAATAAATACTCCTTCCTCCTCCCTAAAAGAGAGGTTCTTGGGCTCTAAAATCTGTGACATTTAGGAGATTTCAATAAAGTTGCTTTTTCTCTCTCCCATATTTTCCTTGTTATCTGAAAAATGTCTCAGATAGAAGATGATCTGTGATGCCAGCCCCAGTGCAGGGTTCAGTCTGCCTCCATGCAGCCCTCCTGGTCCTCCTCTGTCTCCTTCCCCTCAGCCTTATAAAAGACAAAGAAAGTTGGTTATGGAAACTTTCTTCCCATGTTCACACAGTGACTCCCAACCAGGGATAGAAAATGTGTCAAAATGCATAGTCTGGGCTGGGATGGCGATGGTAGGGTAGAGAGACCAACACATCCCCAGAGAAACCACAGTTACTGATGAGAGTGTGTCCAGCCCTCTGGTGGACTGGGAGGGAAAAACAGCTGCAAACCAGTGATTAAAGGTTATTAATGTCCTTGGATTTTGAGCTTCTCCTAGGCAGGAGTGAAGTAGCTTACAATTCAGTTTCCACCTTACGGGGCATGTGGGAGGTGCTTGGCAAACACCAGTTGGAAGAACTCACACTGAGCTTGGAGCCAAACAGCTAAAAGCCGCATGAGATGGGCATTTTGAAAATTGAGCCCCAGGAACACCAGGGCAGCAGCAGGAACCCTCCTGCAGGGCTCGGGGCTGCAGAACCAGGCTGGGAGCCGAGTCTGCCCCTCATGCAAGCTGGAGTCTCAGCTCAAAAGACGGGGAGGCAGCACACACAGCAACAGAGGGGTTGAAGCAGGAGCCCCTATTCACTGTGTTCACGAAAGTTGCCTAGAGAGGAAGCTGGCTGGGGAGAGTATGTGTTCTGCAACCTCTCCCAGGATGGGGACGGATCAGCCAGAAGTGGTCCAGAGACACACAGAGCACCAATACAGTCAGCTCAGCCCCACGGAGCAGAACCTGTGAGTCTGGGCTTGGGGCCAGTGGTCCTCTGCGCTCTCCAACCCAATGTCTCATTTTAAAAATAAATACTTTAATTTCCTCTTTACTATCCTGAATTGAAATTCACAGATAGCATCATTATTATCTCTATAATTTAAAAAAAAATGAACATAATACTCTAACATAGGAGAAATGAAAAGCAATGTATGATAAAATATGTATTTCTAAGTAAATACTCAGGAATGATTGCACTTGATGAAATATCTCCCGCAAATCTCCAAAAATGCTCTCTCGGGTTGATACTGCTCCGTTGGGACCCCTGCTCTAGCCCATGGTAGCCCCCAAGTCACCAAGCTCCTTGCCACAGCCAGATGGCTCCTCCCCCCTCCCAACCACTCACCCTCTGGCTGCAGAAAAGAAGGCAGGAGGCGGGATCCAGACCGGTCCATTCTTGCACCACAGCTGATTCATGGGGCATCTGTAGGGACCAATGCAGCGGGAGATGGAGTAGCTCCATCCATGGAGAAGCCTTCCAGGGGTCCTCAGTTATGCATAGACACCTCCCCCTCCCCTTCCAGTCCACGCTCTGCCCACAGCTGCCAGCTTCCTGCCCAGAAAAACTGCAGAAGAGGGAGCCCAGGAGGGTCAGCAGGAGAAGGAAGGTTCTGGCAGATGGACTTCACTTCCTCAAAAATCCCAGGCAGCCCAACAGCATAAAGTTCACGTTTCTTTAACTGTTTCCCCTTGGCTCTCCGGATGCTTTTTTTCCACCTGTCTGGTCTCTACTTTAGCAACAATGTCTAACAGCATGATAACTATGCCTCAGATCCCCAGGTTTGCATCAGGAATTCTCCAGCCCTGCTCATCTCAAACCCCAGAGACAAGATGAGGCTGCACAGTGAGACCACAGCTTTCCCCAGCACGTGGCAGTGTGGTGCAGGGGACTGAGAGCGTCCCCTGGCTTCAATCCTGACCCTGCAGGCAGTCTACCAGCGATGTGGCAGCAAGTTACTTACGTCCTCTGCACTTCCAATTCACCGTGATAAAACGAGGAGGAGAAAACCTACTTTGCTGATTTATATTACCATTCATCAGAATCAATTAAAAACAAAACACCCAGCCCAGCGTAGGAAACATAGCAGACACTCAGAAAAACGGTTCCCTCCCTCTTCAAACATCAGGAAGGCAGCTGAGAGTGGTGAGAAAAGCAGGAGGCAGGAAGCCCCAGGGAACTAGTTTCAAAAAGTCCAGGTCGTTGACTTCAGGTGGTACATCTAAGACAGAAATAATGATGCTCTCGTTGGGAGAACTGACATGCGTGCTCAGGGGAGCTCTGCACTGGTCAGTCCCACAGCCCCGTGGACCCTGTGGTGTCATCACCACCTCCGCTTCCCTACTCTTATTTAACCAAGAAGCATCTCCAGGTCTTCCAGAGGAAAACCAGCCGGAGTGTTTACTGTATCATCTGCTGTTTGGGCCACTTCCTCCGCAGTCACCGTATGTTTACCGAGGGTAGGGGGACCATAGCCGCCCTTCTTGAAACTAGTACCATATTTACTAGGGAAACAGAGATAATGGGATCTCAGCTGAAAGCAGGAGTTACAGCTGCGCAGGAGGAAAAATTTCCTGGCAGAGACACCCTGTCTGAACAACCGTAACCCCTCCCGAGCACTTTTTCAGGTGCAGTTATCAGCAAGGCTTTGACCCAATTGTGTCTGGAGGTGGGAGAGTGGGTCCGGCGACCTGGAAAGCTCTAGGCAGGGCTGGGGACCGGCGGGTCCTGCTGGGGCGGAGGGTCAGAGATGCCCGGGAGGTTGGTGCAGGGACCCACCAGCTCCGGAACCGCGCGGTATAGCGAGCTGAGCGGGTGGCGCAGGAAGTTGAGGCAGGTGGCCGTGTAGAGGTCGGCGTAGCGCATCAGCTGGCTGGAGAAGAGCGTCTGGCGGAAGCCGCAGCGGAACAGGCTGCCCATCGTGCTGTAGCACAGGTCCAGCTCCCGGGTGACTCGCTGGCGGAGGGGCGGCTCGCTGAGTCGAGATCCCACGCCCCCTGGACCTGCGTCTCCCACGGGCGAGCCCACCTGCGGGGCCAGGCCCAGCTCTGCCCTCCCAGGTCTGTCACCGGAGGACACTGAGGCCCTTGCCCACCCCAGGGAAGGGGCTGCCGTGTGGCTCGGCCAGCCCGGGGCTTTGGGGGTGGGGCGGCCCTCCACTTGAGACCCCACTCCCTGCTCTCCTAGGTTCCTGCCTGGCCCCGGAGAGCGACCACCCTGCACGAAACTCGCAGCCTAATTCATCTTCTGATGCCCCCATGGAGGGCTGTCCAGCCCCACTCCTGCCCCCTCAGGAGGCCCCCACCTCATCACAGGCCCTGCTTTTACAGTCTAGAAAACTGGCCCGTACGTTACTCCCAGGGTGACCAAGCGCCCCTCTCTGTGCCTCAGTTTCCTCATCTGTAAAATAAAGGTGCTGATCCCTGCCCAACCCACCTCGCAGGGCTGTGGAAGGATCAAAGGGCACGAAAGGGCTTTCCACTCTCAAGAGGCTCAGCAAAGATCCTTCCTTACTGGTCCCCACTGGGCCCGGGAGCGTCAAGTGGCCTGAGTCCCCTGGACGTGGTCTCTCCTAGCTTTGGTGGCTGCTCAGTCCCACCACAAGGGGACGTTTCTTCTTTCCTGAGATCCACCAGCTCCCAAGCCCTAAATCCCATCTTCTCCGGCCCCTTATCTGGCTGACCCCAGACGCCAGCCGTCCAGTCGGTCACATGAGGACTCAACCAGGGAGGCAGACACTTCTCAAGGTTAAGAGTGGAGAGTGAGGAACAGGAGCCAAGCCCCACAGATCACCCCGCAGGCTGAGCTCAGCCCTTCCCGAGCACACAGCTGTCATTCAGATCACAGGCCAGCAGAGGGCGCCGGCGGACAAGGGCTGGAGGCGCTCCTGGGAGGTTGGGGGAATCGTAACTGGGCTCTGGGGACCCGGGACAGAGCAGATCCTGGCAGGCAGCCCTGAGGCCCGTGCCCCTCCCTCCACCCCACCGGGCCCATCCCCACCTCAGTCGGCATCCTGCTCTTACCTGAATCTCCCTCTTGGTGGAGTGGATGAGTTGCAGTCCGTAACTGCTCCCATCTGTGTGTCTAGTGCAAAAAAAGGCCACGTGACGCAGGAGGAGGGGAGCCAGGCCCCGAGGCTCCAGGCACAACCTCTCGAGAGGGCGTGGGGGTCAGGGGGTCCCCTACAGGCACCCGCCGCGGGCGCCAGGCTGGGTGTGTGCACGTGTGTGAGAGGGTGAGCATCCTGGGTCCATGCTGTGGGTTAGGAGGAAGGGCCTAGAGGTCATAGTGTGAGTGTCCCCAGGGGGTCAGAGGCGTCCCAGAGTCCAGTTTACCAGGGAAGCCCAGCCTGAAACAGCAATTTCCTGACTCCCCTGACCAGGACCCCGCTGCCAGGCCCAGACACGGACTTCCACCATCTACCCCACTCCCCTCCCTGGGCAGGGGTCACCACCAGGGCTCTCACTGGTACAGGTCTGCCAGGTGCACGTCCATTCTCTTCAACTCCTCCATCCGCTCTGAAAAGTGGACAGGGGACAGCGGACGTGAGTAACAGCCTGCCCACCTGTTCCCAGACCCAGCTCAGCTAGGAGAGGTGAGGGTGGAGAGGTCACTGGGGGTCTAGCCCCCTCAGCTGTGTGCATAACATCCTGGACCCTTTCCTTACGTGGAGTGAGACTCCGCCCAGAGCAAAGCAGGGACCACACAGGACCAGTGGGACAGGTGAGGAGTCAGCCAGGGAGTCAGGTGACCCACCCAATGTCACATGGCAATGACTCAAACCCAGCTCTTAGAAGAAGCCTGCATTGTTTGGGCTCACCGCAACTCCTGACCCCAAGGATACAAGTCATTCCCAGACGGGGGGAGTGTCCCTTCCTCTCGCTGAAATTCCTCAGGGTGGGTGAGGAGGGTGAGGGTCAGGTGAAAGAAACCTCTGACCACAGGACTCTGGAGTCAGGAGATAGGACTGGCGTCTCAGCTTTAGCCTCTCTGGCTGTGTGACTTTGGGCAAGCTGCTTAACTTCTCTGGGCCTCCGCGTCCTCGTGTATAAAAGAGATCCGCTCTCATAAACCACAGAATGGATGAATATGATGGTCACAACTGACCCCCTCCAGTGGAAAGAAGGGAAGATGACGACGGAGCACCACAGGCCAGCGCCTCCTGCCGGCCCCCCATGGCTCACCTTTCTCTCTAGCCCAGATGCCCAGCTCCCTGGACAGCTCAGGAACCACCAGGCAAGTCCGCCAGCCCTGCCGCTTCTTAGACTTGAGAATGTCCCCAAAGATGTGGTCCCCGATGTATAGGATATCCTTTCCCCGAACCCCGAGCAGTTCGCACACCATGTCTGAAGAGCCTGCGCCACCAGGGGAGAACAGGCCGGCTCACGGCCCTTCCCAGACTGGGGACATGGGCTCCCAGGTGAGGAAGGTGCCGGTGGAGGGACGGGGGCAGGGTAGGAGCCAATACCTCCCGAGTAGACGGCATAGTGCTGGTGGGGCCCGGTGTAGGTGCCCACGCGGAGCTTGCCCGAGTCCTGGAGGGGCAGAGGGGCGCCCTGGTCAGACAGGGCAGAGGGCTGGGAATGGCAGGGGTAACCATGGGGTGTGGGAGGAAGGAGGCGGCAGAGGGCCCTGAAAGGATCCCCTGGGTCCCTGCCTCCAGGGACAGACAGACAGCTGAGTAGCAGCAGCCAAGGGCAGGGCAGGCCTGAGAGGCGGGCGCCCTCCCCACAGCACGGTCCACGGGTCCAGGTGGTGGAGACTCAGCCCATGCATTACCGTGTTGACCTGTCTCAGCACCGTTCCCTCCGCAAAGAAGCGGGGCTTCTGCGTGTCCACCACGATCAGGTCAAAGTAGGACCTCCAGGGTCTGGCTGGGGCCTCGGCCTGTGGGGCAGGCGTGGGGGAGCATGTGCAGACATGGCTCAGCCTGGAAAATCTGACCCGCCAAGGCTCACAGGTCCTCAGCCAGGTCTCCTGCCCCTGACCCACCACACCCGCCAGGGTGCCTGCCCGGGCTCAGCCACGCCCTGGTCCGGGGAGAGCCGGCCAGCTCCAGCCCTCCCATCGCGAGCCCATCCACGTGCTTGCTCCTGCCTCTCAGCCGGATGGGACAGCCCAGGCTCAGGAACCAGGGAGTCTGGCCATCCCAGCATCCCCAGCCACGCTGGCAGGAGGAAGAGCTCAAAAGGTATTAGTGGAGGCCAGTGTTGGATGTGATGTGGGCTGTGTCAGCCTCCAGAGCACCTCAGAGCACAGAGAGCCAGGGATACAGGATGACAGCACAGTCCCCGAGGAAGCGCCCTGCTCACCCACATGCCTACTGGGTCATCACAGGGTGTGTCACTGTCCCCTCCCCTGGGCAGGCCACAGCATCCTCTCACCCCTTCCTCATTCACTTCCACTCCATCCAGCCCCTCCCCAACTTCTGAATTCACTGCTTCCTCCAAGGCCATAAGTGGCTTTCTCCACCCCTCCAGGCTCCTCCCAAAGCCTGGCAGAGGTCACCAGTCTCTCACCCACTGGAGACGTTCCAGCGGGCCCACCCAGCTGAAATGACGCCTCACACACTCAGCTCTTCCTCTGGGGGAGGGCTGACATGGGAGAGGCCATCAGCCAGGTGGTCTGGCCCAACCTTCCCTGCCCTTGACACAGCCTTCCCCAGCCAGGCCCCTGGCACTCACCTCACCAATGCCAAACAGGTAGGTCATGATGGCCTGGCGGGGACAGGGCAGGAGTCAGGACACCCAGCTGGGTTGGGCCAGGGGCCACTACCTGCCACTGCCCTCTCCCACAGGACACACTGGGGGAACCACAGGACACACTGGGGGGACCACAGGAGCAAGATGGCAGGGAAATTGCTCGTTCCACCGAGACCTTAAAAGGCCAAGAAATGGATCCAGGCAGTGCGGGTAGTGGGGTCCGGGTTCCTCCCCACCCTCTCAGTGTTTCCTGCAGTGCCTTAGCTTCCCCCTCCACCAGGCCAAGAAGGAAGCAGCTCTCTGGTTCAGAGGCTGAGGCCGCACGCCTCCATACACACACTCACATCCGTGTAGTTGTAGCTGCTGTTGGTGGCCAGGAACACCTTCCCAACCTCCTTCATCTTGCCCAGCAGGACAGGGATTCGCGCCTAGAGCAGAGAGAGAGGAGCGGCCTCCAGGGGTGGGGCCTCCCCCAGCTGCCCCGGGATCCTCTGCTCAGGTCTCAGTGCCCTGGGCTGGGGGCTCCAGGTCAGGCAAAAAGGCCGGGAGCAAAGCCAGGGTGCAGAGCTCTGTGCAGATCTTGAGAGAGGAGGCCAGGGAAGGGGGAGCAGCCCCACTGCCCTGGGGAGGAGGGGGCAAAGGGACAGGCTTGGTCATGACCCTGGTCTGTGGCCACTCACATCCCTCTCCACGTATTTCTCCAAGTCCTCCAAGGTCTTCTCCTTGAGACAGCCCTGCAGGAGGGAGCAGAGCCCCTGCACACCTGCCCCGGGGCTTGCATGCAAGGTGGGGGGACCAGACCACCGTCCTCAATGAAGAGGAGCGAAACCCTATGAGGGCTGGAGGCCTGGGAGGTGGCCTGGGGCCTGGGCCACTCACCGAGTGGTGGACATTATCCATGGCATCTGTCACATCCTGGAAGAGGCTTCGAAAGGACATGAAGAGGTTCCCATGCTGATAGCCAGTGTCACAGCTGGGTCAGGCCAAGAGGGGACATGGGAGGCTGAAAAGGGGCCTGAGGCGACCATCAACCCTGAAGCCCTGCCAGACGGACTCCTCCAGCCACACGGAGCCTGACACTGGGCTCATGTCCCAGCCCTCCTGGGAGGGGTGTCACCCTGGGCTGAGGGTCACCCCTGGGGGCATCAATTACAGGGTTGGGGGCCCCACAGTGAAGGCCTTCCAGTGGGGCTCCTGGAGCCCCTCAAACCCCTCAAGAGGACCCTCCCCCCCTTGGCGGGGTCCCCACTTCAGGGCGTGGCCCTTGGGCAGCCGGTCCAGCTGGTCACCCAGGCTGACCAGCGCACAGAACGCACTTGGTGTATCTGGAGCAGCCGGAGAAGAAGTCCACCAGGCAGGCGTACAGGTAGGTTTCTGGGGTGGGGAGGCTCGTCAGTCACTGGCTCAAGGACCAGGCAGCAGCCCCAAGGCCAGAGCGGGGCCGCAGACCACCTCCTCCCCCACCCCCATCCGGGCCTCACCAGGCAGGTTGAAGAGCGTGTTGAGGACGTGGAACCGCTTCAGGTCGTCCCTCTGAATGAATTTGCTGGGGTAGAAGCTCCAGATCTCCGCCCTGGGGAGGGGGTGGGCGGGGTGCGGCGATGCTCCCTCCGCAGCGCCTCCCAGAGGCCGGGCCAGGCCCTGTCATTCTTTCCCACCTCCACTCATCCCTTCTCTCCCTCTTTATCCCCCTGGCAGCCGAGCCCCTGCTGTGTGCCCGGGTCACCCCCTCTCCCGTCTTTCCTCCAGCATCCTTGCCCCCCACCCTGTCCCTTACTCCGAGAGGAAGGAGAAGCCGTGGGCGCCCAGCAGCACGTTCCCGTGGGCGTCCACCTTCAGCAGGTTCCCGTAGAGCGAGTCAAACACCAGCCCCCTGGGAGAGGACACAGAGGCTGTGGGTGGGGTGCCAGGGCCGGCGACCAGGCCCAGCCTCCCGCCCAGCGAGCTCCCGCACCTGGTGGGGAAGGCGGGGTCGTAGGTGTAGCGTAGGATCTCGTGCGGGTACCCGATGCTCACCAGGCGCTCCAGCAGCAATTTGAAGGCCAGCATCTCATAGGCCGGGGACTTGTAGGCTGCGGACCCAGCAGACTCAGGCCCTTTGGTGCCCACCTCCTGCTCCCCCAGCCCCAAATTCCCTGCGCTCCCTCCCTCCCTCTGTACCTGCCAGAGTATAGTCCATATCGAAGCCGAAGCAGCGAATCTTCCCCAGCGCCAGGCTGCGGTTGACAAAAATCCTGGAGGGGGAGGTCGTTGGAATCAGTCCTCCAAACCCCAAGACCCAGGGCCTGGCTGGATCTGAGTGTGTCTGAGCACACGTGTGTGAGCGTGTGTATGAGTGTGTGCAGGGCTCCGTCTCACCGTGGGAGTGTGCTAGGGGCATCCCTGTGAGCAAGGACGGGCGGCTGTCGGAGGGGGTGTCAGTTTCCTGAACAGGGTCACCGCGTCCAAGTTCAGAGATGATGTGTTTGCCAGAAATGGGCAGCACGTGTCACCAAGTCAGCGTGTGTAACGGGGAGAGACCCTCCCTCCCTGCTGAGGGTACACAGTCAGGTTTCCATCTGACGGGTCACTGCCCACCTACAGAAGGATGTCCCCTTGTGTGTGCGAGTGATTGCCTGTGTATCGAGTGTCATCATAGCTGTGTCTCTGAAAGTCACTCTTGGGTCTCCTGTGTTGTAGAGGTTTTAATCGAGATCCCCCCTACCTCCATCCCCAGTGCCCATCTCACCGCTGGTGCCAGTGCTCCTCCAGGCCCTGGGGCTCCCCTCGGGGCCCCCTTGGCTCGTCCCCATCCACACTGGCCATTGCCACCAAGACTGAGGAGGCAGTGGTCCCTTCCCTGGCCACCTGCACACTATCAGTGGGGCCCAGCAGCTCCCCTCTCCCTCAAACACTTCAGACAGCACTGACCCAGCCAGCCCCACCCTGGGCCCACAACTCCTCCTCCTCTGAGGGAGGAGTCAGCCTGGACAGCCTCTGGTGTCCCTTCCCTTCCTCAAGAGAGAAAGCAGTAATGATCAAGGAAGAAGAATTCATCTATATTATTCTGTCTCCAGGGCTCAAGCATCCAAGGACTTCAACCACCTAGAATGCAGGAGAGACACCAGAGTGAAGCAAACATAGGGGTTACAAAAGCAGGAGAGTTAATGTGCTTTAAAAATAAAAGCGTTTAATAAAGAAACAATGAACTTAGGACTCTTGCTTTACGCACAATTCTAACACATGTGGTTATCAGTGCTCCCAGCCCGAGGCTATTTAAAGAAGCAATTGCTAGAGGTGTGCCAGGGCCTATAAAAAGTGGCAGGTGACTGGAATCTCAGAGTCAGGAAAAGAAGTACAAAAATGAGTCTCAAAAACCAGAGCAATTGGGACCTTTTTCGTGTAGAGCTGTAAGTAGGCCCCAAGGGTACACGATTGCTGATTTTACAACAAAGTACGGTGACTTCCATTCAGACTTTTGACCTGGGTCAGCCAGAAAGATGTATATGATGTGGCCTGGCCTCTTTTAAAAAGGAAGACAAGTTTACGATACACTTTAGAAAATTTTCTCTCTAAAATGGCCAAACTAAATGAAGCTAGGCACTTTTGAAGGGATAAAAATTAGCTGGGGAGAAAAAAAAAAAAGATTTCCCTGAAATAGTTCCTTCCTTGGTAATGCCAGGTGAGCAAATGTTAGGATGGAGAGGCAAACGTATGGCGGCTGCAGTAGATGCATTACCTCATTGGATGGGTGGAGGGAAGGATGGATGGATGAGTGGATGGATGGATGCGTGCATAGATGGATGGAGGGATGGATGGACAATTGGATGGACAGACAGATGGACTATATTTGGTAGCCTTTATTGAGGGTTTCAGAGGAGAATCAAGCTTCAGAAACTAGAAGGGTCTCTGGAATCCCTTTCATTCATTCTGTGCTTTCTGCTCATCTCAGGGAAGCCTTTTTAAAAATGCCCTTTCCTAGAACTTGGCCCCTCTCTGGGTCAGAAACAGAAGCAGGAAGAACACCTGGTTATGGGAAGTCACTAGGCAGTTCCTCAGCCCTCCCACTGGGCGTTAACATGGCGATTATGCAGAAGTATGTCTTGTTTTTCCCATGCCTGGCACAGGGGGGAACCAGCACGCCTTGCTGTGTGCTGAGGTGGCCACATCCCCACTGGATGTTCAGCGGGCTGGTCTCAGTCCAGGACATCCCTTGCCAGACCCCAGTGCCCCTTGGCTGATGGCAGGTCCAGCTGGGGAGGACCGTGGGCTGTCACAGGTCCCCCTTGGCCCGACCCCTGTGCCATCGGCACACCTGGGGGGCTAGGTGCATTTCAGAGCCACTTCCAGGAGAGGAGATTTGTCTCAGTAACTACAGTGAATCCTTGTGTTGCTTTTCCTGTGTGCCTGGCTTTGTAATAATCCATGTGGTAGGCCTACCATTTCTCTGAATTTACAGATGACAAAACTGAATTATCGAAGGTTTAAGCATCTCGCCCACTGTCACAGAGCAAAACGGCAGAGTAGGGACTGAGCCCAGAGGCCAGGCACCAGCATCTGCACTCTTAACCCCTGGGTGAAACCGCCTCTGCCCGGGAGCCCTCACAAAGTCCCTGCACTTTTCAACAGCATGAAAGACAAAGAAAGGCCAGCGGAATGTTCCAAATTAATGGAGGAGGCTTAAGAGACATGACAACTGAATGCAATATCTGCCTTCAGATGTTGAATCAGGGAGGAGGATATAAACCCAAGGACATTATTAGGTCAACAAATAAGACTAGACTATCGATGGCAGCTTAAAGCACTGTCTCGGTGTAATTTGTAAAGTCGATACCGTAAGAAAAATCTCCAGTCTTGGAAAACACTGAAGTATTTGGGGTAAAGGTCATGACATGTGTAACTTACCTTCAGATGGTTCAGGGGAAATATTATGCGTTTATACACACACACACACACACACACGTGTGTGTGTGTGTGTGTGTGTGTGTGCACATGGCGGGGACAAATGATTAAGCAAATGGAGGAAAATGTTAACAACACGTAAATCTTGGTAAAGAGTGAAAAGATGTTTTTTGAACTATGTTTTATTTTTACAAGTTTTCATAAGTTTGAAATCATTTCCAAATTTTAAAAAATTTTCTTTTTTTCATAAGGAGCCCCAAGGCCCCCACCTTAGCACCTGGAGCTCTCACTTCTGCTCCTACTTTCTTCTGAGCTCCCAGCTGGGCGCCTCCCAGCCTCCGAGGACCACCCAGCCAGCTTACATGTTGACTCTTATACCCAAGCTGTGTCTGTTTAAAAAGTGTCCAGGCCCAGCAAGTGATGGCTTTGTTCCCCGTGGCTGCCTGATACTCAGAGAGGTGGCCAGACCCGGGGTGCCCAGCATGTGGGGTACCCCTGTCACCATTATACCAGATCACTGCAGCTGGGCCACAGCGTCACAGGCCTTGAGGGGCCTTTCGTTCCCCTGACTTTGGAGAAACCCTCTCAAGACCACCAGAAACAGCCTGCAGATGAGGGGGGGGTGGCTTCCTCACACTGGGGTGGCTGGTACAGGGGGATTGAGGCGGGGACCAGGGGGGTACATCAGGGAGGCTTTTTAACAGAGGGGAGTCGCTGACGAGTTCTTCAGGAAACGTAGGATTTGCATTAGTTTAAAGGAGAAAGGAACTGCACATCGCTGGCAGGGCACGGAGCAGGCAGGAAACTGGCCTGCCGGGACAGCAGGGGCTGGGAGCTGCCTCCAGGGGAGTGGCGCTGGGAGCCCAGCCCAGTCCTGGCCCCAGAGGTCTCCTCCCCTCTGATGTGGCCACACTGCCAAAGGGCACGTCCTGGGGTGAACAGGGAGGGGCTGTGGCTGGAGGGTGGACTCCACTTGCCCTGAAGGGCCGGCACCAGTGGCCCAGATACAATCCTACCCCAGTCCTGCCTCACCCAGGGCAAAGGCCAGGCCCTGAATGGGTGGGGGGCCAGGGAGGGAGAGATTTGGGGTAAGAGGTTAGGAAACTTCCAAGAACCTTTCTCTCCTTCCATCAAAATACTGGAAGTGACTGGGAGTGTGTGTGAGTGAGCGTGGGTGTGAGCGTGCACGCTGACCACCCCACGGCTGTTCTGACCGCCCTGCAGGAGCACGGGTTCCAGGCAGGGAGGCCAGGGGCCAAGGCTCCCCCACGGGACACCAATGCAAGGCTTTTTATCTCCTTCAGGGAACACTGGCCCCTGAGGGAGAGATGAGGCCTCACTGACCCCTTACCTGGGGAACCAGGGGGCTCCCTAGCTCAGCGGCTGCGCAGCCCTGCAGGCCACGGGCCCCAGGGGACAATCTCAGGGTGGCAGGAGACTGAGAGGCCAGCAGCTGGGAGACAGTGCTGTCCCGTCCCGAGGACTCTGAAGTTGGGGGGGGACGCGGGTGGCGCTCCAGTCTGGCAGACGGTGAGGCCCTGCAGGAAGCTTCGAGGCAGGTCTGGCGCAGGTTGGAAGGGCGTATGAGTCCAGCCAGACCCAGGTCCCCCCCGACGCCTGACAGAGACTCACACCTCCCCTCCCTGCAAACTGGAGAATCCAGAGGGGGCGGGCAGCCACACCCCAGGGGCTGGGCAGGGAGAACCCAGGCCAGAGCAGAGTTCCGGGGCACAGGGAAGCGAGGGAGTCAGAAGTAGGGCATATTTCAGTACTATGTGCAGCATTTTCCTGCACATAAATCGATCCAGTCAGACACCTCACATTCACTAAGTACCCACCTTGTGCCAAGCTTGTGCTACAAACTGGGTTTAACACTATGAAGAAGAGTTATCCGCCTTTAAGCTGCTGTCGTTCCAAGAAGGGAGACAGAGAACACGCCTTCACAGGGAGCAGTGAAAAGAGAAAACTATGCCCTGAGGACCCCGGGAGGTCAGGGAAGGATTCCTGGAGGGAGAATCGTCCAGGCAAGGGCCGCCCCCAGACGTGCTGAGCAGGAGCCCGACAAGCACGTGGGAGTCACAGCAAACAGGCCTGGCCAGAGTGGGGAGCTGGGATGTCAGCTGAGGGCACGCCGTGGCCGGCCCTGCAAGCCACACGGACGGGCTGGGGCTTTCTCTTGGAGGTGATGGATCACAGGTGAAGGGACGTAAGAGAAGGGCGACCTGGTCCCGTGTGCCCCAGGGCTGGATCTCCATGACTCAGGGGGGAGGAGGACACGTTAGAGGGGTTGACCGGGGGGCAGAGGCCAGTCTGGCGGCTGGGGCAGGGATGGGGTGCCTCCACCTGCTCTCCGAGGGAGCGATGCTGTCGAGGAAGAGGTGGGGGAAACACTAGGAAATAAACCAGGCCAGCTTGCAAACTGATCGGCGGTGAGGGTGAGGGAGGGGAAGCAGAAGGGACTGAGCCCGTCTGTCTCTGCTGAAGGCACGGTGGGACCGCCGCTCCGGGGGTCGGGGGCGTGGAGGGCGGCAGGGACGAAGCACGGAGGACAAGGGATGTCACTCCCACCGGGCTGGAGTGGAGACACATGACCTAGGAATTTCAGCTGCTACTAGAAGATTCCATCACAGACTTGGGGCTCTGGGAGCAGAATTCAGAAGCAGGACAACAGAAGAGTGTGTGCCTCGCCCCAAACAGGCCTTTGTAGAGACGGGGCTGCTCTTGGCCTCAGCACCACTGCGGTGAAAACCCAGCCAACCAAACAGCCCAGGGCCCAGCACCCACGTGGCTGCGTGGACTGGAACCAGCAAAGCCAGGGCAGCCTTCCACTTGCGGCAACCTTGGAGGCTCAGGGGCTTCCAGGGACAGCTCTTCACAGGCATGGGTGGCTTCCTTCGTGCGCCTTCCTGGTGACACCCCAGGTG